AATCTTACAGAATTTTTTGCATCAGTAATAAAACTTCCTGCTTTACCAGCAAAGCTGAAATTTTACATGTCAGTTTATATAATAGCTAGGGTTAAGAATAATCTTTCTAACTTTATGATCTTGGGAGGGCATGTACATACATCCCATGTCCACTATGATTTCAGTTTACTAGTTTTTCTTTAGCATACAGATGGTTTCATAAGTACTTAGTAACTTAGTAACTAAGGAACTAATTACTAGGCATGTCTGATCGCACATGTTTACCCTTTACCTTTATTTATCTATTTTCAAGTACTATTGTTTACAGCATTATAATTTTAATAATGTCAGTAACAATAATAACAATAACAGTATTAGAAAAAACAAATTTCCTAAAATTTACAGAAATGAGTAGTCAGCTGAGGTCGAGTTTGCCTACTATTTGACTCTTAGGTAGCTATGGAGCCATCCACATGTAAAGAAAATTCCTAAAAGGAAACTGCAATGGACAGTACATATCCCCACTGACAATGGGTTAAATAATTGAAAGATATAGTTATAGTTTACTTCTAATTACAACCAGATATTTTCAAGTTTCAGTATCTGTTCAAATACATTAATTTCACTTAGAGAGATCAGAGTTAAAATGTTCTACAATGATAACAATGATGCATTTCATGGCCATATTCCAGGTGAATATCATAACTCCTCCTTTATTTTTTGTGAGTGTTTTTTTACCACTTTTGCTTTAACCCAATGGTGACGGGTGAAGACAACAAAAAAAAATAAATAAATAAATAAAAAAACTCTATGCTCTGGCAAACAATGGCGGCGCGCCTGCTTTGAGCACGTGAGTTCGGTACATCAGCCCAAATCACTGGCTCTCCACGCTTTGGCGCGCCACGGCAGCGTACAGCCGCACGCCAGCTTTCGAGCAGTTTGTTTTCACGCCTATCGGCATCACCCGTCCTAAAGGGTTTAATTATGCTGTACTGATATCAAAAATCATCAGTTATCAGTTAGCTAGATGAGGTGCCAGACTACTTTAGAGTTTCAAACTACACATTTATTGAACAGTCTACTCAAAAGGTTCCCTTCATTAGACTTCTAACAGAAAGTGCAGACATGAGAAAATAGGACAATGAAAGAGAAATATGCAGTTATAAAGGGAGAATCAGAGAAAAGAGGCACAAATTTCTGGACTTTTGAATTCATTCTTTCACCTTGTCATACTATATATATATATATCTTACAAAAGAATAAATACAGAAGGGCGTGTTCTCCCAGAATTGGGAGACAACACCCTTTACTTAAATGGAAGAAAACGTTTTTTGACTAATGTGTCACTTATGGTCCAAGAAGTTTCTATTTCATATATATAGTCAAAATTTTCTTTTAATGAATACATTTATATTGTATATATAATATTTCTCTTTATAGACTAGAACTTTCTGATAACTTTTCCAGTTCCATGCAAATAAAAAGGAACTGCACAGCATTTGTAAATATTGCCACTGTTCGTATCCAAAGTAGTTATAAATAAAATTAAATCTTAACTGTAATACTGTCCACTATAGTCATACTCAAAGACACTTTCTCAAATATGGATTTGGTATGGCCAGGGCAACTTTTTCTACTGGGGATTTATCCAAAACCAAACCCAGAACATTTGCACCTTTCACTGAAGTCAGGAGTTATGAAATGTCTCTGTTTTTACTGGTGTTTCTGAAACTTATACAAAGTGGTGACATCCTGTCTCAGTGTGCACCTCAGCACAATCATTTACACTCACTTACTTATACTCAAAACATTAACATAAACACTGATAAAAACAAGCACACACAGACCCACACATGCACGCACGCACACACACACTCACACACTGTGTGAATGTGAGTGCCAGCGTGAATGTGAGTGCCAGTGAATTTGCAAATGATTTCCAGTGCATGTGAGTGCTAGTGTGAATGTGAGTGCCAATGTGAATGTGAGTGCAAGTGTGAATGAGAGTGCCAGTGTGAATGAGAGTGCCAGTGTGAATGTGAGTGCCAGTGTGAATGTGAGTGCCAGTGTGAATGTGAGTGCCAGTGTGAATGTGAGTGCCAGTGTGAATGTGAGTGCCAGTGTGAATGTGAGTGCCAGTGTGAATGTGAGTGCCAGTGTGAATGTGAGTGCCAGTGTGAATGTGAGTGCCAGTGTGAATGGGAGTGCCAGTGTGAATGGGAGTGCCAGTGTGAATGAGAGTGCCAGTGTGAATGTGAGTGCCAGTGTGAATGTGAGTGCCAGTGTGAATGTGAGTGCCCGTGTGAAGGTGAGTGCCAGTGTGAATGTGAGTACCAGTGTGAATGTGAGTGCCAGTGTGAATGAGAGTGCCAGTGTGAATGAGAGTGCCAGGGTCAATGTGAGTGCCAGTGTGAATGTGAGTGCCAGTGTAAGTGAGAGATGGAGTGCCAGTGTGAATGGAGTGCCAGTGTGAATGTGAGTGCAGTGTGAATGAGAGTGCAGTGTGAATGAGAGTGCCAGTGTGAAGTGAGTGCCAGTGTGAATGTGAGTGCAGTGTGAATGAGAGTGCCAGTGTGAATGTGAGTGCCAGTGTAAGTGAGAGTGCCAGTGTGAATGTAAGTGCCAGTGTGAATGTAAGTGCCAGTGTGAATGAGAGTGCCAGTGTGAATGTGAGTGCCAGTGTGAATGAGAGTGCAGTGTGAATGAGAGTGCAGTGTGAATGAGAGTGCAGTGTGAATGAGAGTGCAGTGTGAATGTGAGTGCCATGTGAATGTGAGTGCCAGTGTAAGTGAGAGTGCCAGTGTGAATGTGAGTGCCAGTGTGAATGAGAGTGCAGTGTGAATGAGAGTGCCAGTGTGAATGTGAGTTGCCAGTGTGAATGTGAGTTGCCAGTGTGAATGTGAGTTGCCAGTGTGAATGAGAGTGCAGTGTGAATGAGAGTGCAGTGTGAATGAGAGTGCAGTGTGAATGAGAGTGCCAGTGTGAATGTGAGTGCCAGTGTGAATGGAGTGCCAGTGTGAATGAGAGTGCAGTGTGAATGTGAGTGCCAGTGTAAGTGAGAGTGCCAGTGTGAATGTAAGTGCCAGTGTGAATGTAAGTGCCAGTGTGAATGGAGTGCCAGTGTGAATGTGAGTGCCAGTGTGAATGTGAGTGCCAGTGTGAATGTGAGTGCCAGTGTGAATGAGAGTGCCAGTGTGAATGTGAGTGCCAGTGTAAGTGAGAGTGCCAGTGTGAATGTGAGTGCCAGTGTGAATGTGAGTGCCAGTGTGAATGTGGTGCCAGTGTGAATGTGGTGCCAGTGTGAATGTGAGTTGCCAGTGTGAATGTAAGTGCCAGTGTGAATGTGAGTTGCCAGTGTGAATGAGAGTGCCAGTGTGATGTGAGTGCCAGTGTGAAGTGAGTGCCAGTGTGAATGAGAGTGCCAGTGTGAAGTGAGTGCCAGTGTGAATGTGAGTGCCAGTGTAAGTGAGAGTGCCAGTGTGAATGTGAGTGCCAGTGTGAATGTGAGTGCCAGTGTAAGTGAGAGTGCCAGTGTGAATGAGAGTGCCAGTGTGAATGAGAGTGCCAGTGTGAATGTAAGTGCCAGTGTGAATGTGAGTGCCAGTGTAAGTGAGAGTGCCAGTGTGAATGTGAGTGCCAGTGTGAATGTGAGTGCCAGTGTGAATGTGAGTGCCAGTGTGAATGTGAGTGCCAGATTGAATGAGTGACAATGTAATTGTAAGAGCCAGTGTGGGTGTGAGTGCCACTGCCAGTAAGAGAGCATGTGTAAAATTGTAAAAGTGTGTAAAAGTGTGTATGGGGAGGTGAAGGGGTGAGGTGATGAGTGAAGCTGAGAGTACAGGTCAGAGTGATAGTCACAGTCTACCTACTTAATAAATAGAAATGCACTTTAACAAACATCAATCTATTAAGTTGTTCTAAGGTTAACATAATGAAATCTACATTATCAATGAAAAAATAAATAGAAAAGGAGAAACTTTAAACAAAAACATATTAAACTGAAATTGAGATGTCAAATATACCAAATGACAAAGAAACCACAGCAAAAGTTAGTTTGCAATGACTAGTTACCACCACCCATTTTCAAAGTTTTAAAAGATACAGACAATACAGAAGAGAAAAAAAAAATCCAATCTAAAAGCTATCAATGCAGTTATAGGGGTTAAGAAGACTTGTAAGAGGCAATAAACCCACATGCAAGCAATTCTGTTAATCACTAACGGTATACATATGATTACACAAAGAAACATATTACACAAAAATCACACATTAGATTAGTACATGCCTACAGAACTGACAAACCTGATATCAAACCAGGCCTCGGCCTCTTTTCCTCAATATCAACCTCGTTTCTTAAATATAAAGCTTAAAGCTCTCACTTTTCTGAAAATCCCCTTTGATCATACCAAACAGAATGAGAGATCCAAGCACTAGCCACTTCAGTCCCAAACATACACCAGAGAGGCATCACTCTAGGCAAATTCTGACTATAGAAATTATCTGCCTTGATAACTAGGGCCATTTCACTTAGGCAAATGGGGTTCTCACTGTGGGGGGAAAAATACCAGAACAACTACAACTAACCCCAGCAAATATATATTTGATAATACAAACATAACTATCTACGAAGTGAAGCGAATATGTTGTATTAATTGAATAGATTCTTAAAAAAACAAATGCCAAAAATGCTGGAAAACAAATGCCATAAGAAATAAGAAATTTATACTAGATACATCACATGTATGGTAAAACAAAAATGACTCAAGTAAAGTAAGAGAGAGAAAACATATACATAAAGACTAGCATGAGATTATCACTAACACAAAACAAAGGGAAGATGACATATCCAACAAAATGACTTAAAAAACTGAAAAAGGATAAGCAGACACATAAAATCCCTAGTCAGCCACATCATAAAGATAAATAAAAACAAAAATTCAAGGAAGTGCACTCCATGTAAACATAAGGGATGTTCAATCACATCATACAATTGCAAATATGTGGTGTGATCAAATAACTGAGAATTTATCAATATTAATAAGCATGTTCTGGAATAGTGGTGAGGATGAGGTATTAAAGTCACTATATAGCTTTAAAGTTTCACTAAATAAATAATAACTCAACGCCTGGTATCTTTCATAAATTTCGGAGAATTACATGGAGATGCTTGACTCTAGTTCTTGTTACAAAAAAAATATATAAAAAAAATTTTGAAACTCTACAAAGTAAAAAAAATACAGACAATTAAGCTAGCCAACAGCAAAAGACTTTTTAGACATTCTGCATCATTACATTGCATTCACTGACAAAGCCTCACAGATATATAAGAATGCTTCCTATCTTTACAACACGTGTTATTTTTTACTGTTAATCTTTGTGACAAATAATCCAATGAAGTTACATCTGAAGAATACTGAAGCATAAATAAATGTCTGAGTTTTCATTCCAGCAGGAAACAGGTAAAAGGCATCTAAGAACACTTGGGATATTATGCCTTTACAGAAAGGGTTTAAAAACACCCATTACAGCAAGTACGTGGTCCACAGGATATTCAAGAGGCTCAAACGCGATGCAGGGATTAAAATCAGTAACTCTTCAAGTGCAGAGCACTAAAGATCTAAAGACCTGGCTGGTTGGCTGGCCTGCTACCTGCTGCCGTTCTAACTGAATCTGCAACTGTTGCAGCTGTGAGGCAGCAGAAGAGGAGTTGTCACTTGCCGTGGCTCGACGCACTCCCGAAAGCTGCGAGAGTAACTCAGCAATGGGATCCATCGACTCGCGTGAAGATGGGGAAAACAGACCACTGCTGACACTCCTTTTAAGACAAGAACAAAATGATTTTCTTAAAAACATTTCACAAAACATATATTCCTAAAGAAACAACATGAATTGAAGGAATAATTATATACCAAGCCATGATACTAATGTTCCTCAATTTAACATGCAATAGATTAGATCATTTACAGTAACTTTTATTTTCAGTAGAAAGAGGAGGAAAAAAAGGAGGGGGAGGGGGAGGGAAAGGGGGAGGGGGAGGGAAAGGGGGAGGGGGAGGGGGAGGGAGGAGGGGGGTAAGAGGAGGAGGAGGAGGAGGAGGAGGAGGAGGAGGAGGAGGAGGAGGAGGAGGAGGAGGAGGAGGAGGAGGAGGAGGAGGAAGAAGAAGAAGAGGAAGAAGAGGAGGAGGAGGAGGAGGAGGAGGAGGAGGAGGAGGAGGAGGAGGAGGAGGAGGAGGAGGAAGAGGAGGAGGAGGAAAAGGAAGAGGAAAGGAGGAGTAAAAAGAGGGAGGGAAGGGATGAGGAGGAGGAGGAGAAGGAAAAAGAGGGAAGGAAGGGAGGAAGAGAAGGAAAAGGAGGAAGAAGGGGAGAGGAGGAGGAAAAAGAGGGAAGGAAGGGAGGAGGAAGAGGAAAGGGAAAAGAGGAAGAAAAATGATGGAGGAGGAGGAGGAGGAGGAGGAGGAGGAAAAGAGAAGGAGAAATAAGAAAATGAAAATTAGGAAAAAGAGGAATAAGAGGGAAAATGAGAGGAAAAGGTAAAGTAAAATAAATGTAAATAAAGAGAGGTGGATGGAGTAGGTGGAAGGGTAGGAGGAAAAGGATAAATAGGGGAAAGATGAGAAAGGAAACAAGAAGAGAGAGGAGGAAAAGGAAAAGAAGAAGGATGAACAATATTCACGGAAATAAATGCAAACGAAAGGGAAAAGAGGAAGAGTAGGTGGAGGAGAATGAGGAGAAAGAGGAAGAGGAGAATGAGGAGAAAGAGGAAGAGGAGAAGGAGGAGGAGGAAGAAGAGGAGAAGGAGGAGGAGGAGGAGGAGGAGGAGGAGGAAGAGGAGAAGGAAGAGGAGGAAGAGGAAGAGGAAGAGGAAGAAGAAGAGGAGGAGGAGGAGGAGGAGGAGGAAAAGGAGGAGGAAGAGGAAGAGGAAGAGGAGGAGGAGGAGGAGGAGGAGGAGGAGGAAGAGGAGGAAGAGGAGGAGGAGGAGGAGGAGGAGGAGGAGGAGGAGGAGGAGAAAGAGGAGGAGGAGGAGGAAGATGAAATTATCACAGTGAGGGGAAAAAGACCTTAACATGAAAAACAGTACCAACAATAATAAAACCATACATACCCAAACGTCATGTTCCGTCTAGCTACACCCCTTCCGATACCTCGGCCCTGGTGAGGTATTCTACGTACTCCATGGCGTGATCCAGATGGTTCATCGTGAGAAATTGAGTTAAGGGGAAATATACCTGCATGTATTGGTAAACATGTACATATGATTGGCTTAACCTATTGGATCTGGGTACATTGTGACTAGAGCTTGCCTCCTCTTCACAATACTGTAAGTACATTTTGCTGTTTTGCCATTTTCCGAGGTCTAGGTTTGTTATACAGTATCAAGATAGAATTATTTTCATTGAGCGGACTCTATATTATCTTTCTAGGTAGTTTACACACTGTTCAGTAACAGAAAAAAAGAGTAACATTATGTTATCTGTTACTTTCTTATATTTTTATATCATCAAATTTTCCATGACAATCCCTGCACCTCTTGTAATAGAGGACAGGAACAGATTCCTATCCTTCCAGGAGATGGCCCTTTCCTAGGCATGACACAGCTGGTACACTACACTCTCATGCACCAATGGAAATCCTATAGGAATGCCTTACCCTCATATAGCTGGGCATACATACAGCAATCACTGAAAACCTACTTATCATGAGCATGCCTACAGGCATCATGACTCACTACAGACATACTGACATATTATTTCGTGTTTCTACATAGCATCACAATTTTACAGAGAACTCATGTTTCTCTTTCATCAATGTCGCCACCTTTTTCAAAGTTTTTTTTTCTTGCAATTACAATTATGCCCAACAACGTCCTTGAACACCCTCTTCGCACAAGAAGAGAGAGAATTACATGACAGTTCAGAAGTTTCAATTGTTCCCTGGACTACAGTTCCTTAAGGAACTGTGATCAAGGTGTTGCGTGAGAGACTTCTGATCCACTGATCCTTTGATATTTTAGGCTGTATTCTGAAGATGAAAACCATGGATCAGTTTGATGTCTTGACCTCTGGGCTCTAATTCATGGATAACAAGGAGGAGCAGGATGTAGAAGATTGACAGTGGAAACAACTGGTGCTCAATGTCCTGGATGACTGCTTCCGTGCATTTTTTCTCCAAAAAAAGTCATCACTGTGGACAAAGGCTTGTGAGCCTTCATGGGGCATCATCACACCCTGCAGTACAACCCAAGCAAGAGAGCAAGGCAGGGCCTGAAGGTCTACAAGCTCTGCTCATCTGACAATCTAGAGGCAGGGTATATGGAGGCCTTCAAGATCTACACTGGGCAAGATCGCAAACAGTTCCCCACTAGCATGAAAATGATGGAGAAGGAAGATCTGCTCAACATGGGATATGAATTGCACACAGACAAATGGTATTCCTCCCCAGCTCTCTTCCAGTACCTGCAGGCCCAGAAAACCAGCATTGTTGGTACAGTCCATACCAACAGGTAGGACATGCCTTCGAACCTGCAGCTGGGCCAGGGACACATCATTTACAGAGTACATTGACTGGAATGCTCTTTTTTTTGTGGGTGGACAAGCATCCTGTGACAATGCTTTCCACCAACCACACCAGCAAGGTTGTCACCCTGCCTTCCAACTACCATGGGGTTGAGAGGTCAAAGCCTAAAGTTGTGATTTCCTACAGCAACAGCATATAGGGCATTTACCTATCGGATCAGCTGGTACAGTTGTATCTAGCATCCAAAAAGACCAAGCAGAATAAAAAATCTCCTGTCTGCTGGATATGACAGTCATAAAGGCATGACACAATTTGTAAGAATGAGAATAACTGCAAAATAATTTTAGTAAATATATGAGTGGGCATTACATATGTGGACACATGAACAAAAAGAAGTCAGCATGTGCTCATGTACCATTTATAAATCTTACTCAATAAGTACTCAACAAAGCATTTCAGATTTATCCCAGAAACAAACTCCTAGAAGAAAAATAGCAAATTACATCCATCCCTTTTCTAACACATATAAAGAAATAAATACGAAACTAAGTCTTTTTCAAACCAATCAGCATAAAAGGATATAAGGTCCCTGGGAGCCCCTGAGCGGTGATCCAACGTGAGGTGAGCAGCAAAATCATCTGTAACATGGTTGGGATCTCCCCCTGGCACAGATGCACATATTGGACACACCTGTTCAGAAGAAAATGAGAATCTTAAAAGTAGTAGATCGTTATATCATTAGATGCAGGACTAAGTCTTTGCCCGAGACACTGATAATTACCATCTACTGGGAAATTATTTTTCTATTAACCCATTGTTGATAGGACGACAAGATTATGTGCCATTCCCATTGTCTTTTCATTTACTGGCTGTCTTTACACATAGATGGCCCCACAAGTGCTTAATCACCAAGGAAACAATTACTAGTCTTACCTAGCTCACATGTTTACCTTCGTCTTTCATTTTTGGAAACCTTTTTATTCTTAACAGCTATTAGTGCTGTTAATAACATTAACATCAATAGTAATAACATTTTTTAAAAATCCAAAAATTCAAGGAAAAGGAAATCAGTTGATGCCATGTAAGCTTACTAATTGGCTCTTGGTGGCTGAGCAAGGGTAGAGCCATATCTGTGTAAACAAAGTACACAAAAGAAAATGCCAGTAGACGGTCTGATTAAACAGTATCAATTGCGTTAATTTATAATGTGAATAATTAACTGCACAAACACTAATTTCCCAAAAAATAAATAAGACCTTATATGCCAATTCACACTGTAAACCACCTATTTCTGCCTTAACATGGGCATAAAATTTGGTGCTGTAGTTGGATGGGATACCAGAAGACTGGCCCCTGATCCTCCACTATAAAGATCACAGTTGGCTAGCTGGGTAGCTCTAGGGGTATCTCGTTAGTGATAAATTGGGGAGCTAAAGCAAAAGAGAGAGAGAGAGAGAGAGAGAGAGAGAGAGAGAGAGAGAGAGAGAGAGAGAGAGAGAGAGAGAGAGAGAGAGAGAGAGAGAGAGAGAGAGAGAGAGAGAGAGTGAGAGTGAGAGTGAGAGTGAGAGTGAGAGTGAGAGTGAGAGTGAGAGTGAGAGTGAGAGTGAGAGTGAGAGTGAGAGAGAGAGTGAGTGAGAGAGAGTGAGAGTGAGAGAGAGTGAGAGTGAGTGAGAGTGAGAGAGAGTGAGAGTGAGAGTGAGAGTGAGAGAGAGTGAGAGAGAGTGAGAGTGAGAGAGTGAGAGAGAAAGGGGGGGAGAGGCAATCTTCATCTTATTTCACCATGATATTTTCCTAGGGCATTAACTAATATTTCCCTTAATATACTAATTTACTTGGATGCTTGTATACCTACACTTATTTGTGAAAATTAATGGAAACAAGGAAACCAGTATTCTACCAGCTGGAAGAATCTGTTCACACACAAATTTTATGAATCTACATACACTAATGATTCTTCAAGTTCACTATGTTCAATTTATATATTGTCATTAACCAAAACCTGTGAAATGCTATAAAAACTGAAGCCAATCAGTACAGAAATTAACAGACCCATAATCTCCACGGCATCCCTTACCACTTCATATGCTGTGTCCGGATGGTCTGCTGTAACATGGTCCTGGAGAGAGGTTTCTGTATAGCCCATTTTCCCACAAAATGGACATGTTAAACTTTGAGGCTGGTCTGCTGAAAGTGCTTCTCCTCCATAATACACATCTGAAATAAGGAGGATTACATAAGAGAGGATGAATCAATGACAACCTAATATTGGCATTCCTCTTCATCAGCTGAGTCCCCCTATGTACCCCATATCTAGTCAGTAGGCCTACTTGAATAGCAAATCTCCCAGGTGTGTTGTTTGTAGGCCAGCCCACACAATCAAGGTTATTATCTTTTTCTTGTATAAATTTTTTTTTTGCCTGATTGCCATTTTCCAATATCTATATCGGTTATTTGATATGCTGTGTGAAGATGGTAATAGATTGTTTCCCTTGCAGACTTTGTATCTTCTCTCTAAGAAGTCCATATATATCTCTGTGCAATAAAAATAATAATAAGTAATGTTGTGTTATTGGAGTAATTTTTAAATCTTTTCATAATATTCAATTTTGTGTAAACCTCCCTGTACTTCCAGTCGTGGTGGGCAGGAAAAGGATATTGGGTTTTGAAATAGTGCCCTCCCTGGAGCCAGTGGTCTTCCATCCATGTTTCATGGATGGTACATTCCACGCCTGTTTACCGATGGAAATAATGCTAAAGCCTCTTCCAAAATGCTCACTGAGTTTAATCACCCTCCAAGAGCTCTGAGCATGCATGTCAAGCCATTCCCAGCACCCCTTTCAACAAAATTTTTCATGACAGCATACTCCATGCCCTAGGCCAAAAATCTTTCCATGGTGGCATATTCCTGTCACTTGGCCCTCAGCCAAATTTTTTCATGACATGATGGTCAGATCACCTGGATCCAAGGGGTCAGTTCTAAAATTTATAACAAAAAATTGTCTGGCTATCATTTGTATCAAATATTTAGCTTCCTGAATTTGACGGTAACCAGAATATATGTAAGTGATAAAAGAGTATCAAAATTCACCTTATAACAAATATTTCTTGATCTTACAGAATTTCCTTATCAGTGCTGACTATATTCCTGACCTAAATGCATTTCATAACAACAACTAACAGGTTCTGCCACATCCAGTACGTATCTCTAAGAGGTATACAACTCTTCTTGGTAAATGACAAGATGAAATTCACATCTTCTCCCTCCTTCTCTTTACTTCTTCAGTTCAGGAGAGAGGACGGGTGCTCTAATGACTAGCTCTGGGGATTAATATGGCAAAGAGTTCAAAGGCCACTCACTCAACAGCAGGCCAACATCCACAGTAAGAGTCTGACAAAAATTTGTCTGCATACAGAAACTTTCATGGCACTGTTAAGAGAAAAAGTGCCTAATCTTACTTTCCAAGGTATCAGTTTCAAAAATTATAACAAGAAATTGTCTGGCTATCATTTGTATCATATATTTAGCTTCCTCAATTTGATGGTAACCAGAATATATGTAAGTGATATATGAATATCAAAATTCACCTTGTAACAAATAACAGGTATTTCTACAATAGAAATACCTGTTATCTTATGGAAAAACTTAAATTTTTTGGATATTCCTTAATATCATCAGTATGTTCCTAACATTCTGAAAACACAACAGAACCTACCCTCCATACCTTTCAAACCGCTAAAAGATTTTCATACTTCTTTTCCTTATTTTCATAAATACAGAAGCTTGCACTTATCTTGAAACTGATAATTTTCCTCAACAGGCCTATCCTCTACAATGACCCAAAGAGTGTATGATCATCAGGGGGTTGTATCACAAAAACATTAATTTTTCCCCAACAACTAAAGTTTTTATGCATTAAACACTCTTCAAAAGACCTTACAACCAAGTAGCTTGTCTTCTGCTAATGGCACATACCGTATTGGAACAAGAACCTCTCCCCCCCCCTCCAA